AGTCTTCCTTCTCTGTCCTTAAACATGAGAGGCGGGTGCATATTTATGTGTGTGTGCCTGTCTCCCACCTTCCTCTCCTCGCGGCCCATCCCAGACATCTGTGAGGCTCCAAATTCCCGCAGCAGAGGTGCCCTTAGGGTGCTGCCCACTGGTGGGCCCACAGACATCTCAAATTTTGCCAGCGTGACCTCAATACCTCTTCTGAAGTCATGCTTCTCTGTCTGTCCTTGCCGTGAGTAACGGCTGCCACATTAGAAACCTGGGGTGAAAGGCCTGAAAGGGAGGGCTCAGGATTTCTCCAGCCCATGAGAGCACCCTCCAGAGCCTAAACGTGGCACCCGGCCTGTATTCATGACCGCCTGGCAGGGACCCCAGGGAGAGTGGCCTGTCCACACACTGAGGCTCGTGTCATCTGGGCAGGAACACCCTCCACGAGTGTTCAGGGGAGCGGGCTGGGCTCCAGCGCTGCGGGAAAGGGTGCCCCATGCTCGGCAACCTGAGGACACTGCACGTCCCTTCCTGCCACGGCCCTTGCTACAGGGTGGCCTTGTCTCCCTCCAGGTCACGAAGCCGATCTTCTAAGCAGGGGACACTCTTTTGTTATCTCTCTAGCATCTCTTTCCCTTGTCCCTCTTGTTGGGTTTGCAGATTTGAAAGCAAATACATTTCAATGATTTAAGTCAATTCAAGTTAGGTTTTCTGTTATTTCAACCCAAAGCACCCAAACCCATCATCTTTGTGCTCCCATCAACACCTGAACATGCTGGGAGTGTAGCACACATTCCTGCGGGTGAAGAAAGACATGAAAAAAGAAAATTAGGAATAAAAGAAGAAAGGGTGGGGGGAGAAAGTCAGCAAATTTCTAAATCGACAAAGAACAGAAACCTAAAAGCTTATCTCTTAAACAGCAGATGTTAGCTCACATCAACTGTTTCTTCCCTGTATTTGGGAGGCGAGCAGAGGCGACGTGCTTTGATGTTTACAGGGAAGTCTGAGAAATAGTGAAGAGAAAATAAATGAGAATTAAGTACCTTCTACTCTAAACTTAGAGGAAAATAACCAATAAAGACCATGGGCCTGAATCTTACTTTATATATTATTATATAAATATATAACACGTATTCTGTCTTGATATCAAAATCAGAAACTTATTTTGCAGGGAAACCGTATGTAGAGTTGGTATAATTGATTCATGCAATGCCCCAAATGACCTACACCAAGGCTACAAAGATGCATTTGAGGAGCATGAAAACATGAGATAATTCATGCTTCCCCCTTCTGTGAACAGGTGAAAAACTGAGGCTTTGGCTAACATGAGAAAACATAACTATATTTCTAATTAAATACATAACTGATCAAATAAACACAAGGATATAAGTGTAGAAAATAGATACACGTGATACTAATTCTCAACCTATTTAAATTCAAATCAGGAGCTCTTATTATAAGTGGGATTTCTGGAATTCACTTCTGAGCTGGCCACTTGGCACGGGCATGAAACGGTAGGATCTGAGGGTTGCCTGCCAAGCCTTCAGCTCCAAAACTTCTCTTCTCCACCCCATGAAACCGTAAACCAACCACATCCTCTCTGAGAGCTAAGGGACTGCTACTGTCACTCCTGATTGCAAAGAATCTCAAAAACAGTAATATAAAAATTGCTATGGTTTAACAATCACGAAGTCCTTCTTGGATACTAGACTGTTCCATGGTTTCTACCCTTACAAATAGGAGGAGGGCAGCAGGGCCTTCGCCAGGCTTCTCAGGATGCCAAGCCAGTGCCTCATTCAAGAGGAGGGAGGTTTGGGGACCAGAGCACCATCCCAGCTGAGCTCAGGCCCTAAGGCCCTTGTTGAGACATCAGCCCCCTGGTGGGCTGAGTGGTAAACCCATCCTAACCCTACAAGTGCCAGCCAGCCCCACATACCATTCCCCACCCAGCTCCCACCTAACAGGGCGTGTACTCATGTCACTTTATGTGCTTCAAGCTCTTAAGTTCAAAGCAGGGTCCAGGCACCACTTCATGTAAATTCAGTCGGTTTTTAAGTGCAGGCTCTTGTTCCTATTACTAAGCCAAGTGCCTGGAAAGAAGGTCCAGAAACCTGTCCCCAGGGGTTTCTGATACACACACACACACACACACACACGCACACACACACACGAGTCTCCAAAGCCCGGGTGATTTGGGGAGGCGCACTCACCTGTTGCTTCTACTTGGCTATACGCTGCATTACCCACAACACCTACTTTGATTTCTCCACAATCCCATGTACAGAGTAGGTTTTCAGTGACCATTAGTACGTGTTTGCTAACAAGCTGAAGCCGCCTAGGATTGCACGGTGCTGGGCAGGAGGAGGCAGGGATGACCAGCCATTGCTGTCCCTGCAAAATCAGGCACAGCAACTGATACGGCGAACGGCTCCAGCTAGGGCTCTGGTGGGAGCACCCTCATGGGATGCAGTGAGCTGCACAGTTAAAGAACTCCACTCTGCAGGGGGAAAAAAAGCGGCAGCCGCAGAGAAAGACACACAAAGCCCCAGCTGCCCGCAACATGAATGGCCTGGCTGGGCGATGCCATCAGGACCCGGGGAGAATACAGATCAGAGGGAGCTGGGGAACCTGAGGGAGGCCGGGGCCTGGGCGGTGCTCACCATGACCCATTTCAAACCCCCTTTCCTCTGCTTCCCCTGCCCTCTCCCTTCCCCAAAGCTGGCGCTGTGCTGTCAGGTGAAAGAACGGCCCATGTCACACTGGGGCCCGGTGGGCCACCCGCCCTGGGCCCGGCCCGCCACCCTCCTGTCCCGGGCAGGGCGAGCCCGAGAGAGCCTCCCGCAGCTGGCGCTCCGCGAGCCAAGTTATGCGCAGGGACCAGAGCAGACACTGCCCTTTGTTCCCGGGATGCTCGGAACACACTGGGCGAGGCCTGGAGAATTAAACAGAAATGCCGAGCTTCAAAATCTGACCTTTTATTCATTATTTTTAACAAAAGAATATGACTCGGAACACGAAGGCGACACCGTCCTTGAGAATTAAGAGCTGTAGCCCCAGTGCGTTTACAGTTAAATTTAAATGTAAAAGTGAATGACAGTACAGTCTGAACCGTGACACACTGAGGTTTTCTCCCTTCGAATCAAATGCTAAAGCCGGACGGAAAGTCGAGAGGCGCCGGCCCGGCTCCGCGATTGCAGGCTTGCAGCCATCTCCGCCCGAGTCTCCTCCGCAAGGCTCTGGGGATGGGGCGCTCGGGGCCTCCTCCCGCCGCGGGGAGGTGCCCACCTTGAAGGCGGCCCCTCTGCGCCCAGCGGGGTCACGGCCATTTCCCCTCCGCCGGCCCCGCAGCGAGGCCAGGGCCCTCGCGCTCGGGCGGCCTGCTCCTCGGATCCGCTTTGATTGTTTTCAACATCGTGTTAGAGGTAAAATAAACGCACATGACCCGAGGCGGTGCGCAGGAAATAAAATGACAGCGTGGAGCTTGAACCGTGTACTCCGTCTCCGAAAAATGACGGCTCCACTCTCCCACCGAATTTCTCTCCCAGAGCGCGTGTGTATGTCTGTAAGTATTTATATAAATGTACACACACACACACACACAGGGGGGCACTGGAAATATCGGGGGAACACTGTACAGTATATGGTTATCTAACCACCATGCTGTACGCCTGAAATCAATACAGAATAATATGGAACAGAAGCTGTCATTGAAAAGTAGAATTTAAGAAAAATAATATGAATAAAATCAAATGGCTTTTTGAAATGGCCTCATAACTCGCTTGCCTAAGCCCCTCTGACGGTTCCTCACAGTAACTAGAAGAGCAACTCCTCGCCGTGGCGACGAGGCCCTTTCTAGCCGAAGCCCACCCGCCCCGCACTCGCTGCAACCTTCCCAAGCTCCCAGCTACCTGGCCCCTGCTCCCCCTTCTGAAACACGCAGGACCATTTCCACTCCGAGGGTCAGCGCCCCTTCCTTCTGCCTAAAGGACTCCTCCGCGATGTGGTCAGCCCGGCTTTCTCCCCGGCCGATGCCTGTCTGCTGTCTTTTCTCCCCCCGCCTCTTCCAACCATGGAGATGCTGGCGCTGCGCACACGGCCCCAGGGCTGGGCAGACGGGGACCCCCCGAGTACTTGCGGAATAATGGACGCGTGAGGTTCTGTGCACCTCCCTCGGGGCTGCTGTACCTCCGAGGTGACCACAGCTATGCACAGCCTGGAAGGGACAGGACACTCCGACAAGAAAGAGCAACGAACCTTCGCGTCCCTGACCCGGGAGGCAGTACAGAGGCCTGCATCTCCAAGGTTACCAAAGAAGCCCAGAAACGGGCATTTTCCTGCCCCTCAAAACCAAAGCAAGTTTCTGATGACAAAATACGTGTAAAATATTTTCTTTGCTGCCTCGACGCCTATATTCATCAACTCATGTGAAAAAGGTCATGTATGAACGAATCCAAAAGCGCACCGAGTTACACATTCCATTTCCAGTTTTCTTTCCATGTCAGCATCACAGTTTATATCAACAAAAAGCGTAGTTAATGCGTTCTCGGGCACGGATATCAGTATAAATTTTGAGAGCTGAAGCAAAACAAAAAAATGCAAAACTACCCCCCAAAGGCCTCATAGACTACAAGTGTTGAGAAACCTGTTATTTTTTTTTTCCTTGTTAAAATATGTTTTATTCAGACAGCAAACACACAAAAAGAAATGATCATTACGGACAGAACTTTCTCCCGAAGTTCCCCAGGGCTATAAAAAGTATGGCGAGAACACGGCTCCATTTACATTCCTCGAAGTATGTCTTGAATGTTACCCCCAAATTATGAAGAATACCGTATCATTCGGAAGACAAAGCGGGGTACGAATGCGTAAGACCATCGCTCAACGGCCTTCTTCGGTCAGCCGCTTCGCATTTTCATTCTTTTCAAACGTTACCCTTACGGAACAAGTGTCTTAAGGCCACACGTCCTTACATCTGTCCCACGCGAGGGCCTCTGCGGGCCACGGCCACCTACCTTGCAGCCACCGTGAGTCCTGCTCTTCATCAGGGGCGTGGTGGTGCACAGCTCGATGGCCTCGGGCTCGTGGAAGATGACAGCAGGGAGAGGTTCCTTTTTCAGTGTTAGGACATTCAGTTTAGACTTCAGCATGGTCTGAAAGTGCTGAAAAGCAGGGAGAAAGCCAACTGCAGTTAAATCGCTTGCAACAGTACGTGGTGCAACTGTACATAAAACCCAACAGCAAATCTCTGTTTCATGACCTTGGTCGTTATAGAGGAGCCAAGAGATTCTTAGTAAAACGGAGGGAAAACCTGTCGGGACACTGCTGATGTGAACTGGGGACGGCCAGCCCCCGAGCAGACGTCCTGAGAGCACGCGGGGGGCAGAGTCACCCACGGCCTGTTCCGAGCGGGCCCTCCACGGGGCTTACACAGAGGCAATCCTAGGGATGTAACCCCTGCTGGCTTTAACCAAAGAAGGGAAGGGGTTAGAAAGAAGATGGCCGAGGAGCAATTCTGAGGACAGTTTAGAGAGAACGGAAAAGGGAGAAAACGACGCAGAAGAACCCAAGGCTCCTGTCTCTGCCGCCCCCGTTCTCCGCCTGGGCTGCAGAACTCCGGGAAATTCACTGTTTCCCCACGAACCGCTTTAGCTGCTATCTCGGGCCAGAGTCTAAGGAAATACCCATTCTATGGGCCACGCCTAATGGCACCAGTTCTGAAATATGTGCAGAATCCATGCATGTGTCATCACGGCTATCTCAACGCCCAGTCCAGGCCCCATCTTTGTTTGGTCTAGCAGCTTCCAAACCGGTCCTGCCGCTTCCAGCCTTGCCCCTGGGCAAAGAATTGCCACACAGTAGCCAGAGGGAACCTTCTAAAATCCAGTCACGATGTGTCATCCTTCTGCTTAAAACTCTCCCATGTCTTTCCGTCTTCTCAGAAAAATTCCAAGTCCTTACGTTGGCCTTCGAGCCCACTCAGGGACCGGCTGCTCCTCTGACTTCATGTCCCATTCCTCACACTCTCACTTGCTCAGATCCAGCCACAGTGTCCCCCTTACTTTCTGAGAATAAGCCAAAGACACACATGCCTTGGAAACTCTGAACAAGCTACTTCTTCTACCCAGGAAGTTCCTGAAGATGGCACTAGGAGTGACTCTATTCCCAAAGGGTTGGGCAACCGCACTGCCCAGAAGTTCTGAGACTGTCTTCTTGTCGCTGTTGTGAAATCCAATGTTTTCACTCTTGGTTCAGTCACTGAGCACACAGAGAGACTGAAAGTTCCAGCCTGACACACCCATGGTCCCCTTAATTATTTGGCTGGAGAGCCAGGTAAAAGAAATAAACATTTTAAAAACCCTAAATTGGGGACAGGAAGATAATGGAGTTCAAATTCCAACTTCAACACTATGAGTTGTGAAACCTCAGCACTCAGCTCTTCAGAGCCCTGGCGCCTCCTGCTGGGCAGGTTCGCGCCATGCCCTGCTTGCCAACGCTCCACATGCCTTTGCTGAACACCTACTGTGGCCGGACACTGAGTAGGCACCACTGGGTCAGAAATAAAAGTGTCAGGCTTGCGTCAAAGGATTGTTCACAGTGGGTGGGACTGTAAAACCAAGTGACAACTGCACATCTTTGTGACAAGTTTGTTAGAAAAGCTCCATAGAGAGGGTAAGATAGTATTTAAAAGTGAAATCAAGAAAATGATTTCTTTTTAAAAAAATGTTTTTTTCTTTAAAGGTCCTGTCCTTTTTACACACTGTAAAGGACAGAGGTAAGGGGGGAAATAACATGTGAATTATCTGATGAATCGTTGAGTCTACATAATACACGTCTTTAGAGAAAATTAACACTTTTACGTAATTTTAACTTGAGTTGCTCATGTAGATTTTTCGGGTAGTAGAAGTATGATAGCTGTAAGAACATTTCTTCTGCCCCTTTCCTTGGGGAAACTTCTCCGCTACTTTATGCTTTTTGGTGGGATGAGGCTGTTGGTCACATTCCCTGTCCCCTGACACTGGGAAAGAACATACACGGGCTGACCTTCTGAGCCTACATGTCCCAAGTCAAAGGCCTTGATTCAGAGGAAACTCAAGACTGGCTGAACACGCTCTTCTGAGATGTGGGCATATAGGATGGTATGATTTTGAAGCTGCTGCTGACCTTCCTATACGCCAAGGTCAGCCCGAGAATGAGACCACACACAGACAAGGACAGCAGAGAAGTGGAGCGCCACAGACTTGAGGTTTCCAAGCCCTGGGTCCAGCTGCATCTAACTCAGGTCAGCCATGGTCTCACTGAGAATAGGAACCAGTACATCCCCTTTTACGCCTTAAGCGAGCTTGAGTGAGATGTCCAATCCTTGCCACTAAAGGCATCTCACCAATACAAGTTACTTTTTTAATAAAAAGCCATCTGTGAAAATAAAATAGAGCCACTGAAAATTTTAGAAAGACTTCATAGATGTTCAACTGCAAAAATGAAAAGCAACAGTATCTTTAAAAAGAGCGACTCCTGTACTTCGTTATTTGAATAGGCTGAGCCTTAATGATTAAGCACCAAATCATAATCTAAAGAGGGAATGATGGTCCCCAGGTTATTTGTGCCTGTGATTCAGCCAAAATGAAACAAATTCCAAGTCTCAAGGGACAGTCACATTTGTGTCCCTGCAATGACACCCAACTTGGTGGCAAGCTCTCCTGCAGGGTAACAAAGACCCAGAACTATAACCAGCCCTGTCATAACTGCATGGCCTTGGGCTTTCTGGGCCTCAGTTTCCTCATCTGTCAACTTTAAAATGCTGTGTTATGTCACATCGAAAATGCTATCGCTTGTTCTCTGCATGGACAAACAAGTGCGATGAAGACAATGCAACATTAAAATATCATAACCCAGTAGAATTACTAAAAAGGCCATAGAAGAGGAATCCAACAGAGAAGCTTGGAAAAGCTGCTGCTCCCAAATGAAAGATGCACAGAGTTCCATACAGAAGATGTGTTATTCGTTCTTAAAGAAGGGAAGTGAATGGTGTTGTAGAAAATTAGGGCACTGCCCCAGACAAATTAAACAAAGCTCAGCTTTCTGCGCTTGGTGCTTCATGTGAGATCTCAAAATAGAGCCTCTAAATCAAGCCCCATTATGCGGAGGGGTAATGGCCGTGCCCTGTATAATTTTACAGGTGGCTCATCCTGCTCCTATTCAGACACTAATCTCTGACACTTCAGCAGGCAAGGATTTACATATTTTACCAATTCAAATCCGGTGGATCCCACCTTTGTATTGATTCTGCATCCAAAATACAAAGCATCTTTGGAAGGCAAATGCTGCTTCCTCTTTCCCTAAGATAACGGGGCCACTATCCTCACTGACAGGGAAGGCATTAAGGTTTTAATCCCTGGTTGCATTTTCAAGGCTGGCTACAATGGTCAGTTTTAACTTGCAAATTACTGAGTCGGTAATGCCCTAATCACACTTCAACAATATTGCGAATGTTCTCTTTAAGAGAACAACAAGGAACAAGTGGGTGAATCATATTAATGGAAAATTTCAGTTCCCCACACAACTGCTAATTTGTACAAGTGTATGAAAACCAGTGGGGCTTCAGCATTTGTTCATAATCACACTTCAGTTTATTACTTTGGGGGTTATGTAAGAATTCACTCAGTTGTACTTTCACATTTTATAGCACTTACTTTTTATTTTATTTTTAAATATATCTTTATTGATTTCAGAGAGAAGAAAGGAGAGAAAGAGATAGAAACATCAATGATGAGACAGTCATTGATCGAGCCTGCAACTCAGGCATGTGCCCTGACCAGGAATCGAACCCCTGGATCCTAGGTCGATGCTCAACCGCTAAGCCACGCCCGGCCGGGCAGCACTTACTTTTTTAAAAGGTATATTCACGCCCCACACATGAGACAAGCAATAATTGTGATACTCTTCACAATTAGTAAGAGTAACCTTTAGTAAGATTTTTCACTTCTCATTTTTTATATAAATTCTTAGATTTCTCCTTTTAAATGGTTATTCTAGCGTTTTCACACACACAAAATAAAAGTACAAAATATATTTTTCTATTAAATGAACAGTAAGACTGAATAAAAGAGGGGCTTCCAGTCAAGATGGTGGCATAGGTAAGTGCTGTGCTCACCTCCACCCATGACCACATCAAAAATACAACAAAACTACAGAATAACTGTCACTGAGAACTGCCTGAAATCTAGCTGAACAGAAGCCCTGTGACTAAGGATATACAGAAGAAGCCATATCGAGACTGGCAGGAGGAGTGGAAACACAATGGAATATTACTTAGCCATAAAAAAGAATGAAATATTTACATTTGCAAAAACATGGATGGATAAATTTTTTAATGCAGTTCATGTTGGTCTGGTATTCCAAGAAAAGAAATATCTATACCAACTCAGCATTTGCCTGATGGCTGCAAATTATCCTAGTCATTGACTTATTTAAAAAGTTCCAGCTTAATTTTAAAGCTTAAATTCAGACACTTTCAAGTTTAAAAGACTGTCTATATCTATTAAAGTGATAGCTATTATTAAACTAACTGAAAATACTCATGTTCACACACCCATACTTATTCGTGCAGTTTCAATTATGGAAGCATTTCTTCTGAATATCACAGATTTTCTCAAGAGATTATGTGGGAGGGTCACAAAATAGCTCCATGCCCACAGAGCACGCAAAACACCCTCGAGGCTTGTGAAAGGCTCCCTCAGGGGAGTGAGCGTGTGTGTGTATATATAGACATTTATTTTTGTTCCTGATCTGAAATACACACACACTCCCTATATTCCTAATTTAATTTTTTTCTGTCATCTTCCAAACAATGTTTCTATATGTTGACAGTTAAACTATTATAAAATACAGATTACAAGCCCTCCACTCAAAGTCACATTTGGCCTGTAAATGTTTCATTTGATTCGCAGAGTGCTTAAATTTGAAAAGTATTCAAATATCGGGGTAATATAATTAAAATTTGCATTTCCACCTCTGTCAATAGATCAAAAGATCTGCAAAAGCAACTTTCACTCTTGGCAACAATTAGCTGCAGCTGGTCATGCAATTGGCCTCATTTATTTATTTTCCTCTGCAATTCACCAGGGTCTCTCTTTCCCCAACTGTCACCATTCTTTTCTAT